AAAATAAATCAAACCAAAAACATAGAAATAAAACGAAAAAGGAAAAAATAAAATAGAACAGATAATGAAAGTTAGCATGCTGTTTATCCAAGATAGTGGGATATACAGATAAATATGCAATTGCTTATATATTTTTTAAATATATATTTTATTGGTTATGCTATTACAGTTGTCCCATTTTTTCCCTCCCCTTTATTACCCTACACACTACACCATCCCACCCCCAGCAATCTCTCCCCCCTCCCCCGCCGCTTACTTCATGTCCATAGGTTGTACATATAAGTTCTTTGGCATCTCCATTTCCTATCCTATTTTTAACCTCCCCCTGCCTATTTTGTGCCTACTATTTATGCTGCTTATTCCCTGTACCTTTCCCCCCATTCTTCCCCCTCCCCCTCCCCTCTGCTTTACTGTTCATAGTTTTTGATCTTCTTTTTCTTAGATCAGTCCCTCTAACATTTCATATAATAAGGGCTTGGTGGTGATGAACTCCTTTAACTTGACTTTTTCTGGAAGCACTGGATCTGCCCTTCCATTCTAAATGATAGCTTTGCTGGATAGAGTAATCTTGGATGTAGGTCCTTGCTTTTCGTGACTTTGAAAACTTCTTGCCAGCCCCTTCTTGCCTGCAAGGTTTCTTTTGAGAAATCAGCTGATAGTCTTATGGGAACTCCTTTGTAGGTAACTGTTGCCTTTTCTCTTGCTGCCCTTGAGTCTCTCCTTATCTTTAATCTTGGGTAATGTAATTATGATGTGCCTTGGTGTGTGCTTCCTTGGGTCCAACTTCTTTGGGACTCTCTGAGCTTCCTGGATCTCTTGGAAGTCTATTTGGCCAGATCGGGGAAGTTCTCCATTATTTTTTCAAATACGTTTTCAATTTCTTGCTCTTTCTCTTCTCCTTCTGGCACCCCCATGATTCGGATGCTGGAACGTTTAAAGTTGTCCCAGAGGTTCCTAAGCCTCTCCTCATGTTTTTGAATTCTTGTTTCTTCATTCTGTTCTGGTTGAATGTGGATCTCTTCCTTCTGCTCCCAATTGTGATTTGAGTGCCAGTTTCCTTCCCTTTACTGTTGGTTCCCTGTATATTTTTCTTGGTTTCACTTTGCGTAGCCTTCACTTTTTCCTCCATTTTGCAACCATACTCAACCAATTCAGCGAGCATCCAGATTACCGGTGTTTTGAACTGTGCATCCGATAGGTTGGCTATCTGTTCATCGCTTAGTCCTAGTTTTGGAGCTTTGATCCATTCTTTCATTCGGGCCATATGTTTTTTGTCTCAGCGTGCCCGTTATGTTGGAAGTGGCGGAGTCATAGGTGTTTGCCAGGGTGGGGCAACCCAGGTCACTGTGCTGTGATGCTATATGTTGGGGAGGGGCCTGAGAGGGAAGAAGGCCACTTGCTCAGCTCTCAGGCAGCTTTCAGTCACTTCCCCTGCTGCACAAGCAAATTGGACCCTTCTATTGCTGTTTCTCAGGTGGGTGGGTTTGTGTACATTCTAGGACCCAGAGGGTCGCTCCAGTGAACTCTCCTGCAAGGCTGGGAATTTCTCCTGACGCTGCAACCCCCATAGATGTTTACAACCAGAGGTTTTGAGGCTTTTTTTCCTGCACTGGAACCCTGGACTGTGCAGTCTGTCTTGTTCCCTAGCTGTTCCTCCGATTTTTCTGCACACAAATGTGGACTACCCAGTCAGCCAGCTGCCGCCTCACCAGGGCCGCCTGCCAGCCACTGGCTTGCCGCGAGTCTTCTCCACCCCAGCTGCCCATCTCTGCCCCTCCTACCGGTCTGGATGAATGTTTATTTTTTAGCTCCTTGGTGGTCAGACTTCCATATACCTTGATTTTCTGGAAGTTCTGGTTATTTTTTGTTTTTATATTTGTTGTTACCCTTCTTTTGGTTGCGTGAGGAGGCAGTGTACCTATCTATGCCTTCATCTTGGCCCAAAACATACAAATAAAACAAAAAAGGAGAGAATAAAATAGAACAGATAATGAAAGTTAGCACGCTACTGTTTATCCAAGACAGTGGAATATATATATATATATATACATACACGCAAGTGCTTGTACTTTTAAAAAGTAGAGGATAAACCATAACATTAAAAAAAAAAAAAGATTTTGTATGGAAGAAAGAAGGAGTAGGGTCCAAGAGCCAAGGAGAGAAACAAGAACCTGACACACTTTTGTTACATAAGTATTTAGAATTATTATGTAAAAGCAGTAATTCTTAAAAATTGAAAATCAAAAGATGTGAGTTATTGGCGTAATTACTAAACATAGAAAAGAGCTAGATCAATAAACTGAGTAATTTGTACATCCTTCTTAAAGTCTATGTGTCAAAAACAAAAAATCCTGAAAAATAAAACAAAATGTTTTCAGTAATTGTGTGTTTTTTTTAAAAAGATTTTACTTACTTATTTTTAGAGAGGATAAGTGGGGGAGAGAGAACGTTGAAGTATGAGAGGTAACATCGTCTGGTTGCCTCCCACAAGCCCCAAATGGGGTCCTGGCCTGCAACCCAGGCATATGCCCTGACTGGGAATAGAAGTGGCGACCTTTTGGTTTGCAGGCTGGCGCTCAATCCACTGAGCCATACTGCCAGGGCAAGTGTATCATTTTTATTAATTTGTAGTAATGTAACTGTTGTCCTAGAACCTGGAACTTGACATCCTACAAGAAAATGAGTCCAATTACCTTCTAACTATGAGGCAAGGGTCAAAAGGACATAAGAAATCAATACATTGTACACCTTAAATTTACACAATGTTGTATGTCAAGTATGTCTTAATAAAGTTGGAAGGGGGGGGGGGGAGGACACAGGATCCATCCTGAAGCAGCATAATCAAAATGGTCAAAATACAATAAATGTGTTCATACTCATGATTTCGTAACATTATAAAGAAAAAAAATTATTAGTTACTTTTAGAGAATTTTAATGAATTAAACTCATTATTTTTGAAAACTGATAAAGGAAAAGAGTCAAGTGTTTGTCCTGCATGTATTATAAATCAGTACCTTGAAGTAACCAAATGACTGATGAGGGAAATCTTCTCTTTACAGAAATATTCCAAATAATATACAGAGGACTGATAAAGGCACAATACCACAATTTTGCAATCTTCAATGAATACACTGATCTAGGCAATGATAATTAATTTTGAAAACATCACAAAAAGACACTATATACCTCTGGAAGGGAGTACATAGCCCAAAACAATCTCTGAATCTAACTATCAATTTATCAGAAATACTAAATAGAGGAACACAGGAAATGATGGCATGGGTTTGCAATTATGAATATTCAGACTATGGAAAGCTCTATAGAAAAAAGGACATGATTTCTTCAACAACAACAAATTACAAGAAAACAGACAGGAAACTTACAGATTAAAAGATACTTAAGAGATATAATCAATCACAATGTATGAACCTTGTATGAATTGAGATTCAAACAGACAAAATAAAAAACAAAAATAGTATGTAACAACAATCTAGGAAAGTGTGGGCACTCAATCTGATAATATAAATGAAATGATACAATGTTTAGGATTTGAGTCAAAATAATCCATAGGAGGGTAGGTGACTGGACAGATGAAACAAGACTGAACCCATCACCATGATAAATGCTAAAATAAGGGTAAAGACAAGAAGGAATGTCGTTAAGATCTGACCATGATTCTATTGTGGCAAACTACAAATAATTGTCTTATTTCTGTATATGATTTGATTTGAAGCTACCAAAAACACACTCAGGGTTGTCATTTCATACTTTTTCTTTCTTTGAATACAAGACTTAAGACTCATAGATAGAGAGCAGGCTGACAGCTCTGGGATGGGGATTAGAGGGTGAAGGGATCAAGCAAAAAAGAAAAAGGACTTACAGACAAGGACAGTAGTGTGGTGATTGCAGGGGGAAGGGGGTGAGTGAAGGTAGAAGAGGGTATAAGAGGGATAAAAAGTAATGGAAGAAATACAATAAAAAATAAAAAAATAAAAATACCTCCGGCTCTAGCACGAGGATTCTAAAGCAAGAGATCTGAGATGGAGACCAAGAAGCTGAATATTTAATAAACATTTCAGGCAGCTTTTAAAAAAAAATGTAATTAAAACTGTTTTACAAAAAGCCTAACACTGAGAATACATAATTCTTCTATAAAGACATTAGTACACATGCACACAATCTGGCTTGCTGGATTTGCTAAAATGTTGATGAGGCAGACCTATTAAAATTTAATTTTTAAAAAATACCTTGTCTTTAAAAAAAAGCAGCAGCTGCTATCATTAAACATAATGCCAAACTATTTTAAAAAAAATCTCATTAAAAATGTATAACTTTTTCATAACAATCTTTAGAAAAGGTCCCTTAAAACCAAAATGGTTATATAAAATTTGCCAAATGATAAAAATGGAATAAGAAATCCCAAAGATACCAGGTTTCTGGATTTACCCACAATTGTACACTAAAGGGCATAATTATTTTTAAGTGTGTACTGAGTATTACTTTTTCATAGGTCACACACTGGAAACTCATGGACCCCATCTGACTTAGAAATGAGTTATATGGCTTGCATGGTTTTTTAGAAAAAATGTGATCCGACTTTTAAAATACAGGAGATTTCATGTAAAAATCCAGATTTTGACAGCCCTACATGCAGCAGTAACTAGAGCAGAGTAGCAGCTTCTTCTTTAAGAAGGGGTATGGCACGCTCCTTTTCACCATAGTCCTTATCCTATATCCTAACTCTTTTCTTTGCACTTATTTTAGGTCTGGTCTCCTTAGACATGAATATGTGATCATCAGTTATAGCCAAACATTGTTCTGAGGGAGGTTTCCTCCTCATCCTTAACAAAGTAGAAAAAAAGAGGCTATCTATAAGAGCCAATATCATTCAGTTTTAAAAAATGCAACAACAAAAAAAGCATTCATGGTTCTTATAACACAGAAATAAATGCTACCTGCATATTTTTAAATGCTTTTCTTAATAGAGCAGTAAGGCTTACCTTCAAATCAAGGCTGCTAAGACTTATGACATCATCATCTTTTTCTCTTCGTTTTCTTTTCTGTAAGACAAAAAAGATTTCATTCTTACACACAAGGAATGCATGTTACTCCATACAACTAGGAAAATCACTTTAAGAAGTAAAGCCTTTGGCTGTATTTAGAAGAATATTTTTATGAGGGATGCTCATAAATTATCTCTTCCACATATACTGTCTAAACAGCACCCCCTTACTAAATCATTTCTTGTTTATGAAGTGATTCTACCCTATTAAAAAACTTACTTCTGCAAAGTTTGTCAGAACAGTACTCTTATATAAATCAAGGGCTTTCTATATTTGTTAGAGAAAAAGTAAATGTTTTATACATAAAGGCAACAAAGGTTCTTTAAAAAGAAACACATGTTATTTATTACATGAGAAAGAGGGAATCTTCCCTAGGAAAAAAATATGCTTTTCTCATGGCCCAAAGTAATTACCTTGAGGAGAAAACTTGTGGGAGTAGAATCAAAATCAAGCAGGACAGGGACAATAGAAAAAAGGAAAGATAAAGTCCAGGTAGAAGTGGGAAAAATATGTGGAGCCTGAAAGTCTCAGAAGCAAGCCAACATGAAAACAACAAAGAGAGAACTCTATGAAGTTAGAAAGCCCATCTGAACCGAGCCTCTTTGTTAAAGTTCTGGAAAACTACATTCACACTAAAAAGAACAGAAAATTCTCCAAGTCAAATCCTTCACAAAATAACTAAGGAAAAAGAGAATAAGGGTCAGAATAACAACCCTACAGAGAATAAAGGTACCTCAGAAGGAAATGCTCAAAGAAGCAGAAAAAAACTATAACATACTGTTTCAAATTTAGCTAAAAGACAGGAAAATGACACGACATGAAAAAAAGAATATAAATCAGACTTAGAAAAAAACTAAAAAATGAAGTGACAGAACTCAAGATCTAGAAGATGCAGAAAAGTAAAAATAAAATCCTAACTTCAAAAAGCAAACTAAGCAAAAGTCCTGCATATATGTATTTTATCTGTGTGTGTATTTGTAAATAACTATATGAGCAAAATATACAGGGAAACATTAATGGTGCTGTTGACATGGATTAGAGTGGAGGTTGGGGATGGGAGACAGACTCATACAGGAAGGTAAACAGGAGAAAACCGCCAAGCAAAAGGATTGTATTGTGGGGAAAAATGCATACACATGACCACACTTATGCCTTTATATAAAACTGTACATATGTGTAGGCATACATATATACAAAGAAATTTAACAGATTTTAAAACATTCTACTGTATTTTCTTCTATTTTGAAGTTTTGTCTTTCATATTTATTCAATCCATCTAGAATTTATTTTTGTACATATGTGGTATGAAGTAATATAGCCAACATGTCAGCACCCCCCGACACCACCTGATAGCACAATTCCTTCATAATGCTTACGATACAGTAAGTTCTCAAATATCAGTGGGTCAGTTTCTGGATTATCTGTTTTGTTCTATCGATTTATCCATACCTGCACCCATATCATGTTGTATAATTACTGTACGTTTGGGATTTTTTTTTTTAAGGAGTTTCATTTTTTTTTTTTTTTTTAAGATTTTATTTACTTATTTTTAGAGGGAAGGGAAGGAGAAAAATAGGAAGAGAAACGTGTGGTTGCCTCTCACATGCCCCCTACTGGGGTCCTCGTCTGCAACCCAGGCATGTGCCCTGACTGGGAATCAACCGGTAACCCTTTGGTTTGTGGCCAGCACACAATCCACTGAGCCACACTAGCCAGGGCTGGAGTTAAGTCTTAACAGCTAATACAGTAGGTTGTATGCTGCCTGACTTGTACACCACTTTTGCTGTTCTGGGTCTTCTACTTTTCCATGTGAACTGTAGAATGAGATCGATTACATTCCAATGGGATTTCTATCAGAACTACACGGAATTTGTTAATTAATTTTGGGGAGAATTGACATTTTTATGCTATTGAGTCTTTCCTTGCATGAATGTGGTACATCTCCATGTAATTAGGTGTCCCTCTGTTCTTTATTAATGCTTCCCAATAGTTCCCATAAAGTCTCACAGATCTTTCCGTAGACTTATTAGATTTTAAAATCGCTATTATTTCAATAAAAGCATCTTTAAAATTACATTAAACTGTTTATTGCAAGTATATATACATTCTATTGGTAACTTTTTATAACTTTTATAGTGAGTAGCCTTGCTTGAACCCTGATTAGTTCTAATAGCTGCTATTAATTTTCTCTTGGATGTTCTATGTAGACAATTATGGTTTTTTCTAAGTAACGAAGTCATATTGTCCGTTTTTTCCTAATTTGTATATCACTTATTTTCCTGTCTTACTGTGCTGGCTAGGAGCACTAGTACAATGCTAAATAGACACAGTGACAGCAGGCTTTTTTCTAAATTTGAAAGACATGTTTAAATATTTTATCATAATGTATGTTGTTTGTGGTTAAGTCTCAGACTAAGGATGCTTCTATTCTATTCCTGGTTTGCCAAGATATTATGGGTGTTGATTTTATTTTTTTCCACTCTTGCTTTTTCTTCTCTTCTCATTGATTTATTTCATTGTTCGTTTTCTAATCTCTTAAGTTAGATGCTTAATTTTTGTTATTTTCTTTTCTTAAATGATATATTTTAAAATGATAAATCTCCCACTTACAGCTCCTTAATGACATTCCAAAAGTTTTAATGCATAAGCCATAAGATATTTCTTTTGACCAGGGAGACTTCTATGGAAGTGTTTTTCCAAGTGGTAGGTCCTCATCCTGGAGGATACGCAAGAATGTTCCTTGGAGTGCAGAAGAAAGATGTTAGAACTTTCATTTTTATGTATTAATCCTTGAAAATAAGCTTTACTAATATTTAATATACAGATGATGAGTGCATCACTCACATTATGTGGTTAAAGATAATGGTGATCTAATCAGTTACTATAAAAAGTCAGTCCTCAGGATACAAAATTAATATCTAGAAATCAGTTGCATTTTTATATGCCAATAATGAACTATCAAACAGGGAAATTAATAAAACAATCCCATTCACAATTGCTTGAAAAAGAGTAAAATATGTAGGAATAAATCTGACCAAGGATGTAAAAGACCTGTACTCAGAAAATCATAAGACACTGAAGAAAGAAACTGGAGAAGGTACAAGTAAGTGGAAGCACATTGTGTTTATGGATAGGAAGAATTAACATTATTAAAGTGTCCATGCTACTCAAAGCAATCTATAGGTTCAATGCAATTCCTATCAAGATACCAATTATGTATTTCACAGAACTAGCACAAATATTTCAAAAATTTATATGGAACCACAAAAGGCCTCAGATAGGAACAGTGATTCTGAGAAAGAAGAACAAAGTTGGAGGAATCATGCTACCTAATATACTGTACTGTAAGGTTGTAGTAATCAAACCAGCATGGTAATGGCATAAAAATAGACACACAAATCAATGGGACAGAATGGAGAGCCCAGAAACAAACCTTTACCTTTACAGTCAATTAATATTTGACAGAGGAGGCAAGCACATACAATGGACTAAAGGTAGTTTATTTAATAAACGGTGTTGGGAAAATTGGACAGATACATGCAGAAAAATGAAACTAGACCACCTTCTTATGCCACACACAAGAATAAATTCAAAGTGGATTAAAGACTTAAATGTTAGACCTGAAACCATAAAAATCCTAGAAGACAGGAAAATCTCGGACACTGCTTGTGGCAATACTTTATCTGATATATCGTCTCAGGCAAGGGAGATAAAAGAAAAAATAAACAAATGGGACTACATCAAAACAAAAAGGCTTTGCAAATCAAAATACCAACAAAATAAAAAGAAAACCCATAGAATGGGATACATCAGGTAAGGGTTTAATAACTGAAATTTATAAAGAACTTAAAACAAAAAAAAGCCAAACAATTGTATTAAAAATTGGGCACAGGACCTGAAAAAACACTTCTCCAAACAGGACATATGGATGGCCAATAAACATATGAAAAAATTCTCAGCATCACTAATCATCAAATATGCGCAAATTAAAACCACAATGAGATATCACCTCACACCTGTCAGAATGGCTATAATCCAGAAATCAACAAAAAAGTGCTGGTGAGGATGTGGAGAAAGGGGAACACTTTTACACTGCTGGTGGGAATGCAGACTGGTGCAGCCACTGTGCAAAGCAGTATGGGGATAACTCAAAAAATTAAAAATGGAATTGCCTTTGGAGCCAGCGATCCCACTTCTGGGAATATATCTGAAGGAACCCAGGCTCTAATTTGAAAGAACCATTAAGCACCCCTATGTTCATTGCCGTGTTATTTAGAATTGTTAAGGTATGGATGCAGCTCCCCGTCCATCCCCCACAAGTGTCCAATAGTACATGAGTGGATAAAACAACTATGGGGCATTTACATATTGGAATATTACTTGGCTGTAAGTAAAAAAGAAGAAAAATTTACCCATTGTGACAGCATGGATGGACCTGCAGAATATTATGCTAAGTGAAGCAAGCCAGTCAGGGAAAGACAAATACCATATGCTTTCATTCATATGTGGAATCTAATGAACAAACTGAACTAACAAGCAAAATAGAGACAGACTCAGATGGAGAGCAGGCTGACAGCTCTGGTGAGGGAGTTAAGGGGTAGAGGGATTGAACAAAAAGGAAAAAGCTCACAGGCATGGACAACAATGTGGTGACTGTGGGAGGAAGGTTGTATAAGGGGGATAAATGGTAATGGAAAAAATATAATATTTCAGATAGCCATCATTAACTTCACTATACATGAGTATTGTGCTTTGAGATATTAGCTAATAATGGCGGTATAAACATAAAAATTTTAAATATACGAGGGGTATATGTTCAATTATTTTTACTGATAGGCTTGCAAATCAAGTTTAGAAACACTTCTAAACTGTTTCTGTTTAAGTTTAGCTCATCAAATAGTAAGAGAAAGGGACCAAGATGAAAAAAGTTTCAAAGGAAAATGTACAATTGCATTAAAATCAAGAGACACTTTCTGTGAAAGCTTATCTGATCAATGAATGTATGTGATCAGTATAAGAACACAGAAACCTTAAACACGGGTCTCCAACAGAAACATAAATTATAGACAAAAGGAGAGAACACAAATTAAGTATGTATTATTGAACCTATCAACACATCAATATAGGCACAATCATAAAGTTTGGCAAACTAAAAATGGAATCATTTTTGCTTTTTTACCCAAATAAGAAAAGCATAAGAATTAACTCTATTTGTATTGGTTTGGCCAAAAAATCTGCTATGTTTTTTCCATTCCATGGCTCTAGTAGTGCTTAGCTGTCTTTAACTTCATTTGAAACAATTTTGTTAAATTGTTTCAACTATCATATCAGTGTTCATTAAAAAAAACTTACCAAAATTGGTGAATTTTTATGCAATCATTTTGATACTGAAGATGGAAGAAGATACACAACATTGTTGGTGTATTATGCTTTATTGTTTCAACAAAGGTAAAATGTAACAAACACAAAAAAAGATTTGTACAGTGTATGGAGAAGGTCCTGTGAATGAGTAAACATGCAAAAGTGGTTTGTGAAGTTTCTGGGTACTATTGACACTACGGTCAAATAATCCTTTGCTGTGGGGTTGTCTTATTAGAAGATAGCACCTCCAGCCTCTACCAGCTAGACAGAAGCCAATAGGGGAGACAGCTGACATACTCGAAATATTCAAATCAATAAAGCTATTGGTGAAAATGAAAAATAGGTCTTTTATTTTAATGGAGAAAACATAATGGACTTTTTGGCCAACCCAATATATACTTTATTTATATGAATACTATGAGGTAATAAGTTTTTAACTATAAAAAAGAATTAATTGTATGATGTCACTTTGCACAAAGTTAGATGCCTCTGTAAAGTCTGTCTAAAAATAATGAAATAGTCTATACTAAAATGATTAATAACAGAAAGTAATTCATTCTTTATATCTTATATTTTTCAACTATGAAAAAAGTTGTAAGAGTATACACATAAAAATAATTTCATGTTTTATAACATATTCTCTTAATACTGGTGGGAATAAGAGAAAGGATTACATAGATTTAAAGATGAGTAAGTCTAGTACTTTTCAAAACACATTTTATATTTAATTGAAATAAAAATAATTTTCTTTTAGAGTGTTAGGAGAAAATAATTAAATTAGGTTGCCAAAGATGTTGAGAGAAGGAGACAACTGAGCTGTACACCAGACTGAAAGACAACCCAGGAATTAATTATAATGTCTTGGGAAAAACAAACAAACAAACAAGCAAGCAAGCAAACCAACCCTAGGCATTTACTCACCAAAGTGAAGTCCCAATGGGGGCCAGGTGTTAAAAATGTGAAGGAGCTCCCTCTCCTAAGGGAATATCTGTTAACAGAAATTAAAAAAATAAATAAATTGAGGGTAAAGCAGTAGACATGTAAAACAATTTTTTTTCTGTTTCAAAACTGTTAAAAGTAGACTTTTAGTTATTCAGTCATAGAAATAATAGGGAGGTTATGCCAAAAAAAAAAATAGTCAGGGTATAGGTTCTAGTCACTTTCAGAATCTTTACAAAGGTGACAAAGCCTTTATAACTTTAGTAGATAGACTATTTTAAAAAAATAATTCACCGAGTCAAGCAGAGTTTATTTTAGGAACATATACCTGGTTCAATTACATGAAATCTCTTTATATACTACAGTAATAAGTTAAATAAAAACAGTAAGTAATGCAAAAAATTATTTGACAAAGTTTAATGTTCATGCCTAATATTTTAAAAACAAGAATAAAAGGGTATTCTTAATAAAAGAAATCCTAAATGTATTCAACTTGAATTTCACATTGTCTTTCATGTACTGATTTTTTAAAAATTATGATTTAATAAACTGTCAAGATTAACATTTCACTAGGATTTTGTTCTTTTATTAAGTGACAGATTTTACTTTTGTATCATCTATTCATTCAATGTAAAGAAATAAAGAGAATCCTTACAACAAACACTTGTCTTCACCTTTATAAAATATAAACCTCTATATTTATAAAATATGGAGAAAAACCACTAGAATAGCACATAAAAAAGTTTATAAATTATACTTATTGTTAATTGTTTCAGATGTAAATATAATTTGTTTTTTCTCCTTTGTGGAAATAAATAAAGATGAACCAAATGAGAAAAGCTCTTTATTCAGAGCTTGCCATAGCAAAGGAGTCAGCCACTATCACCCCTATTTAGGCAGACTCAAAAGCAGGCCTAAAACCTTTATAGTAGAAAAGAGGGGACTTCAAATGTACATTGACCGGAGGCTCCTGGCAGGCTAGCTAGGAACAGGGCATCTTACTGTGATTGATTGGGATGCAATTTGGCTTGCTCTCGTTGATTCCAAGTTAGAAGGGAGGACTAAAATTAGGGAAGCTGGCAGTTATTGATCAAGTCCTGGTCATCTGGGGCCAAATGTTACAGAAGTTACTGTTTAGCTTTCTAGATTATCAGTCCATTGTCCATTTCTATAGTCCATACCTCACCCTTGATCCTCAAGGTCTTTGTTTACTAGAAGTTACAGACACACCACAGATGGCTGTTTTATCCTACAATAATTTATAAACTTAAATCAAACACAAGGGTTCCTATAGTTTTTGAAGCTAAGTAAAAAGCAGAATTTTGTTTATATTTTGACAAGAAACACAAGGGAATAGAGCCACAGGAGAAAGAAGATGTCAAAATAGCTTCACAGAATAATTAGTAATTAAGTAGTACAAAAGCTTTATCAAAAAGAAACAGTAAATTAACAAAGCATACAAGAACCAGGAAGGCTCTTTGGGCACAGGGAATAGCACATGTTAAGGAGTGAAATGAATTATATGTAGGAATCTCCAAGTAGTTCCGTATGTTTCATAATCATAAGAAATAAGTGCTAGATCATAATGAAAGGCCTTACATGAAATTCTTAAAGAGTATAAGCTCTAGAACATGTATGGTAGCTATTAGCTATTGAATTCTAAATAAGGAGAAAGATGGATTGGAAGAAGGCAAAACTGACTGGTCAGGAAGACCTTTAGGAAGAAGCTCCAATATTCCTTACCATAGATGGTAAGGGGATGAATATTGTAATAGCAGCAAGGTTTGAGAAAAGAAGCAGGTTAGAAAGAAGGTACAATGAAAAAGTGAATAGATTTTTCCTTTTCCTTGCTATGCCTGTTCAGTTACTACCAAGGTTCTTGACGTAGTGAAATATCACGCCACTAAAACAAATTAAAAATAAATGCAGAAAGATCTTAAGGTATTTAAAGCAAATATTTCATAAATAATTATTTGAGAAAGATTTGTTAGGTAACAAAAATTCAACCAGGTGAATTTTAAATACCAAATTTGCCTTATTGAACTATTAATGAGTCAGGCAGTATCCCATCTAGCAAATAGAAAGGAACTCCAAAATGCTGTATGGATTACAAGGTTTTTAAAGAAAGAAAGGGGAAAGGGGAAAATGACATTATTAGTAAAGAATACATTGTTTCAGGCAAGCCTAATCTACTGAGGGGAAGGGACAAGACCTATCAGCATATTATCTCATTAGTGCTGATTAGGTATTCCATATGGACTGGTCAAAGGTTACATTCCTGGGAAGGAGAAACTGCAATTAGCTTAAGTAATAAATCCTGGTTTGCAGAGGCGGGGCTTGGCACAAATGACTCCATTTTGGGCCTGTTGTTTCTCTGTAACAGATTAAGGCATAGGAAAGCTCTTACTACTCTTGGAGCGTTCTCTCTCTCCCTCTCTCTTCTCTCTCTCTTTTGAGTGCCTCTTTAGTGGAGCAAAATAACTTTAAAAAATGGTTTTGCCACTGCAGAGAACTCAAGCAACAATGAAGAAAACAGTGTAATTTTTGATAAAACACTTTAACAAGGTTTTTAAGTTAAACAAAAAAAGACATCTGAAATACAATATAATACATATGCCTAAACAATATATAGGTATAATATTATAAACAAATGCTACAAGATTATAGGAAAAACAGGACCTTCATACCATGATTCTATAGATCACATTTTTAAAAAACACTACTCTAGAGAATCGAGATGGTGGGGGAGTGAGTGTAAGTCACACTGACATCCTCCCAGGACCAATCTGGAATTACAACTAAATTGTGGAGAAATCACCTGGAACAAACAACTGAACAACAGCGAGAGAGGAGCTTTATAACCTCGACAGACAGAAGAATCAGCTAAAGAGTATGGTAGATACTTGAGAAGGAGGGCGGGGCTCCCATAGGCAGCAGCACCAGAAGGATATTGAAATGGTCAGTTGGATCCCCCTGAGAAGAGTGGAGTCTAAAACATAAGCAGGGATCTCCAGCCTACAGCACCACAGCCCAAAATGTACACAGATAATAGCCAGCTTCAAAAAGCAGCAGAATTACTCTCTGCCAGACACAAGTGGCTGGAGACGCAGAGAGCCTTTTAAAGGGCCAACTCATACATTTTTATTTGTAGCCACTTACCTTCGTCTCAGGCAAAGGCGAGGGCAGAGTGGGCTAGAGACACCAGAGGAGAAACTGGGGAAGGAGGCTTTCAGGAGAGAATGGAGAGAGTAGCTGGCGGGATCCCAGTGCTGACTCATCCCCCGTAAGGCAACAGCCATCTTGTTCTGGCAGAGACCACTCCCCTGAGAGGCAGCAGCGTGAGAGGGAACCAACAACCCTGCTCCCAGGAAGGACTCTGCCCTGGCCTAGTAGTGCTAAAGCCTGATACCTGAGTACAGAGTGGCAGCCACAGACAGTAGATTCCTGACTAAAGGGGGTGCAGACTGGTCTAGAGACACTTGAGGAGAGACCTGAGACAGACGCTTTGGGGAGAGAACTGAGAGTAGCTGGTGGGATCCCAGTGCTGACTCATCCCACATACAGCACCAGCCGTCTTTCTCAGGCAGACCACTTCCCTGAGCGGCAACAGCATGAGACTACACAATAGCCCCACCCCAAGGAGGGACTCTGCCCCGCCCTGTGGTGTCTAAGCCTGACTGCTGAGTGCAGAGTGACTAGATTAACAACTGAAGGAGACAGCCACAGGCAGTAGATTCCTGGAAGTCAAACAGACTGCACACAGGGTCAACATCGGACATCATCAGAGGCAGATCCAGAAAGAATAAACAGCGGTCTCCTACCATAGAAGTTCACACCACAGAGTCAGAAAATCAAGACAGATCAGTTTAAGAAGCAGATGCAAAAAAGAAAAGTCCCACAAATAATGGGAAGACACAGACACACCTCCCACTCGAAGGGAAAGGAGGAATCCTCAGAAAGAGAACTAAATCAAATAGAGGCAAGTAAACTATCAGATATTGAGTTCAAAACAACGGTTCTAAGGAAGCTCAATGAGCTCAGAGAGAATTACCAAAAACGACAGGGAAACTACGAGGAACTTACTGCAAACTGTATCGGCGTGAAAAAGGACACAGAAATTGATAGTTTCAATAAGAGACAAGAGGAAATGAAGAACACCATTCCTGATTTGAAGAACACAGTAGAAGGAATCATGAAGGCTAGATGAAGCAGAGGAACGAATCAGCAAGCTGGAGGATAAGGTACATAAAAGCTCCCAGAAAGAGCAAGAAAATGAAAGAAGACTCAAAAAGAATGAAGAGGCATTGAGGGAAATGCAGGACAACCTGGAACGTAATAATACACATATAATAGGGACACTAGGAGGGGAAGAGGAGCAAGGGATAGAGAACCTGTTTGACAAAGGAATGATGGAAAACTTCCCTAATTGGAGCAGAGAAAAAGTCACTCAAGTCCTGGAAGCACAGAGGGTCCCATTCAAGAGGAACCCAATGAGGCCCACGCCAAGACACATCCTCATTAAAATGGCAAATATCAAAGACAAACAGAGAATCCTAAAGGTAGCGAGGGAGAAAGAGGTAGTAACATAGAAGGGAACCCCAATACAGCTAGCAGCTCACTTCTCAACAGAAACACTACAAGCCACAAGGGAATGGCAAGAAGTATTCCAAGTCATGAAAAGCAAAGGCCTGCAACCAAGGCTGCTCTACCCAGCAAGGCTCTCGATTCAAATGGAAGGCAAAATGAGGAGTTTCCCAGACAAAAGGCGGCTAAAACAATACACCTCCACCAAACCAGCACTGCAAAACATGCTAAACGGACTGCTTTAAGAAGATGAAGAAAAAGAGTCTATGAATACCCAGTTCCTTTCACAGTCACTAATACTGATATTACCAATATTTTTAATACTTATTAATCTGATGGTGACAATGATGTGTCATTTTCCTTGTTGCTTTGTTATTATTTGTTGAAACTAAACCTGTTTTTGTATATTTCTTGCCTATTTCTGTTATTTTTTAAAAGCTTGAAATGGCTTTTTGGTATTCTTAT